ACATTTGGATACTGACAGGTGTCCCCTGTCCGTAAGAGTTGACACAGGTGTGGGGAAGGGGAGCCCTGAGGTCATGGGGTGGTCAGGGTTTTGGCCAGCTGTGCAGTTGCTGGGCTGGTACCTGGGTTGAGTGTTTGGAAACAAAGAAGAAACAGGCCCAGATTTGCATCATGGAAAATCTGAGCTTTGAGACAAGTGTGGAGGGGTGGGGGATGGGCAGCTGGACGGGAGGGGCCGATGGCGAGGAGGACCCTGGCTGGGATTCTCCAGAGACCATGGGGGCGCAGGTCTTGCGGAGTGTGACTCTCAGACAGGGAGGCCCAGGGTCCTTCTGTGCAGGCGCTGGGCTCTCCTTGGCCTGCTGGCTTGGGGGCAGTGAAGAAGGAAAGCCGCTCACCAGGAAAAGTCCAGATTCCTCAGTGCGTCCTGCCCCAGAGTCCAGTGTGGAGGCCTGCTCTGGCCTCCTGGCCTCCCACCCACCGCCTCCCTCCCCCAGGCCCCAGCACGGCCAGACGCCATCCACCAGCGGTGCCGAGAGCCCTTTATCAGATAATAAATAAGGCGGCTGGAGCCGTCCGTGTCAACATCTTGGCGGGCGTCGCAGGGCATTGTAGGGGGGGGCTGCCTGCCATGGCCTCCGAGTGGTCGTCGAGGGCCGGCCACCCCCACCCCGGCTCCAGCAGGACTGTGGGGCTCGGCCAGCCCCCTCCCCTTTGGGGCTGGTTCAGCCTCTGCCGAAGTGCATGTGGGAGGAAGGACGGGGACCCCTGGTGCCTCAGCCACACAGCCTCGGGTGCACCTGGACTCTTGGCCTCCGTTAGTCAAACGGGGGTCCACCTGGGGGCTGGGACCCCGAGGCCTGGCCGTCCTCCGTCTGTCCACATGGCCTGGAGGATGGCAGCCGGAGCCGCCCCAAGCCGTCCACGGTTTGCGGCAGAGGAAAGAGCGAGAAGCTATAAAGCCGTCCTCCCGTCCCCAGAGACAGCGGCGGCTGCGTCTGGTGGCAGAATGGCCTGTGTCTGATGATGTTGACAACAGCAACTGTGCTCTTCTAAGACATGTCCTTATTTGGTCAAATAAAACGTTGGTACCCTGCATTGCTTACCCCAAAGAACCATTTTCCCTTCTTGAGAAGCACGTTCCGGTTTTCAGCTGAGCACCTTAGGGAATTTGCACCCGTTTTTCAGTGAGCAGTCTTTGGTGGAAGCCCCGGCGCCCCTGGAAGCCCTCAGGTCCCGCCCAGCTGCACGCGGTGCCCTGGGCTGCGCTGCTGGGGTGACACTGGGGCAGGCGACTGGCGGAGGTTCGGGTGAGGCAGCACCAGGGCCCGAGGGCACAAACGTGCACCCCGGGGTGGGCGCCGAATACACTCTTGGCTAAGTGCAACAAGACTCGGAAAAGCAGGGTGAGCCATGGCAGCAGCTGTCACCGACCCCGGCTGGGTCCCTGACGACCTGGGGGTGGGGTCCCCTCGGAGGAGCCCTGCCAGGGATCGCTGGGTGCTTTGGACCTCCGGCTCTGTGCCTGCAGAGAAGTGTTAGGGCTCTCAGTGGGTGGGGGGAAGGGAAACCGACTGAAGGGACCCGGTGTCTCCCTTTCTTCTGCGCCCTGGACGCTCAGTGTCTCGACTTCAGGGACAGGGTCCTCTCCCTGCCTCAAGGCACCCAGGACGGACCCGCGGGGGCTCAGGGTACACTTCCGGTGGCCAGGAGAGTGACAGGATCCAGGGTCCCTGCTTCAGCTGGGAGGTGATGGGAATGGAGCGTGCGGTCGGGCAGCACACACCCAGCGGCCCTTCTGTGCGTCCTGTCCTTGCAATAGCGGCCGGGCTGCCACGCCGCCAGGCTCCCCAGCTCATCCGGTTGTTTATGACCAGCCGGGCGGAGCCGAGGGGTGAGCTTGCGGGAGGAAGAGCTGCAGGAAGGGGGCTGCCGGCGGCTATATTAAGGCTCTGGGTCCTGACAGCTTCCGGCCCTGAAGGGGCACTGGGGAAAAGGTTTAAATTAGCAGCAACACCCATGCCCAGAGGTAGGGCGCCTGGCCTCCCTCATCCTGGGCACGACACATTTAAAAAATGGCAAAAACAGGGAGGAGGTCACTGCTTCCTTCCCTCTTTGTCAACCCTCCCCCCTTCCTGTCGAGGACCCCTCTTCACGGGCCGGACGCCTGGGGCCGGGGCATCCAATCCCTCCTCCTCTCTGTGGGGACCCTACCTGTCCTATAGAGCACACCTCCAGGAAGCCTCCTTGAGTCGGGTAGTGCAGAATGCTGCTTCCATCCCCGGGACCTCCAGGCCCGGACCAGCTGCACACTCGTGTGGATCCCAGACCTGACGCTAGGCACGTGGCATCCTCCTCGACCTACGGATGGGGAAACCGAGGCTCCAACAGAAGCCCTGGACTCCCAAGTGGTAGCGCAGCTGTATGAGGATGCTGTGCTGTCCCTCCATGCCCAGGCCCTGTCATGCTGCCATGTAGTCCTCGAGGGTGCTCTGTGGCCTCCTACCGTCTCCTGCCTCTCGTCTCCTTCACTCTGGGGCCCGTTACCCTCTCCCGGAGCCTGCGGTGCCCGAGGACGGGCTGGGCCTGGCAGGGCAGGAGGACAGACGTGTGCCTCCAACAGCTGCTCAGGGCTGGGCAGGCAGAGGAGGGCACTGCCACTTGGTTCCCTCAAAGTAACGATCTGGGTCTCCCACTCGGGGACCCCCACCCTGGCAGGGTGGGAGGAGGCTCCACAAGCAGGTGGGAAGGGGCATTGCCCTGCCCCGCCAGATGGCTGCTCACCTGCTCCCTGTGAGCAGTCTCCCGGGAACGGCAGCCTGGAGCCTGTGGGCACGGAGACGAGATGGCAGCAAGCTCCCCGCGCCCCGTGACAGAGGTGTGATGTCCCGGTTGAGCCCCGTCCCCTCGGCACGTCTGCCCACGGGCACAACCCTGCAGGTGCGACTCCATTCCCACCTCTCCTGCCCAGCCTGCTTTCTGAAAGTGCTGTGACTCGTTAGACAGACTGCACCCTGCAGGTCTTCCTCCGCAGCCTGGCCCTGGCCACAGGGCTCCCAATGTGGCTCTGCAGGGACCCGGGCGCTGGCCTCCATGCAGGTTCCCGGGCCCTGAGAGTCTGTGTTTAACGGGCCCATCGGGTCACCTAGATCTGGGTGGCCTTGCTGAAGCCCTCCGTGTAGTGGGGTGGGGATCCTGACTCACAGACGGGGGCCGAGGCACCAAGGCTACTGACTTTCTGTGGACATTAGGACGATGAGAGGTGGCAGCACCCGGCCTGCCTGGGTGCCTGACTCATGTGTGTCCCTGTGTCCCCCGGGCTCATCCCAACACTGCCTGTCTGCCTGCTGACCTGCACAAGACCTACACGGGGACACGGGCTCCCAGTGCCCCAAACCTCGTCTTGGTCCCTGTCCCCTCCTTGCCAGCCCCCAGCGCAGCCATACGAGGCAGGGCAGCGCCTCAAACTCCAGTCCACCTGACCCTGGAGTGAGGACTTCTCCACGTGTGGCCCCCCAGGCTGACCCCGTGTCCCTCCCCCATGCGGGCAGGCGACCTTGAAGGCACTGTGCTTAAGGGTCTCTTGGTCGACTTGGAGTGGCCAGCGAGGTCCAGCAGACCAATGCGTGGAGACAAGTTTCTGAACGAACAGACAGCCTGAGTGAGCACCAGACGGGGAGTCGACCTGGCCGGCGAGAACTGGGCTGGAAACCCCACAGGCGTTTGGGAAAAGGAAATGCAAAATCAAAGTCTTTATTTTACATTTTTTCTCATGGCATCATTTGTCTTTGATAAAAAAAGAAATAGACAAGATCAGGTGTAAATTGCGCAGCTTGACCTCGAGGTGCCAGCTCAGGACGGGCGGACGGTCCGGAAGTTGGCACAGGGGGACCACCGTTCTTCAGTGTGAAAGACGAGCCAGGGCAGCACACGCGGGCGCCCACAGCTGGCTCACTGGACTCACTGGACTCACTGGCGAGACGCAGCCACTGAACAGAAGCCAGGATGTGGCCCTTGGGCACAGCGTGCCCCACTCCCTCCCTTCCCTACCGCCTCCCCACCACCAAGCTAGTGGTAGTCATCCCGCTCCCTTGGGCAGCGCTGTCTCTAGCCAGCGCGACCCACTAAGTTATCACCCCACTCCGTGAGGGGAAGGCTTCCACGGGGGCAACAAACTAAGCTGGGCTGACCCCAGGTGAGCCAGGACATGTGGCCACCCTGCCCCTGGCCCTGACAGTGCCTATGGGGTCAGCACGGGGCCCCAGGTCCTTTACTTTGCCTGTCAGAAACTGTCACAACACACAGATTCAGTCAGAATGAGGACCCTTACTGCCCCCTCTGGGAAAACCATCCAAATAAATATACAAGTAGATGATGACTAGGGTGTGAGTGGCTTGCTCTTGGGGTGGCATCCTGGTACAGTGCACAACCTGAACATCTGTCCCTGGCAGTCCCTCACTCGTAGGAGGGAAAGTTCTCCGTGCCGTGGCTCTATCCATCAGATGTGAGAAAGGGACAGATCCTGAGGCTTGAGGAGGTCCCATGTCTGGCTACTCCCCTCATTCATGTTGCTGGCCTGACCTCGGCCATTTCGTTTGTGATCCTGGTTTTATGACAGGAAGTTAGGTCTTTTTTCCAGCTTCTGCAACATGTAAACATGGCGATGGCAAATGTTGACAAGTGAACTCAAGTTGGCGGTGGGCGCTCCAGGTCAGCCTTGGCTGGAGTGGCCCGGTCAGAGCCTGGCACAGCATTTGGGGGAGTCTCCTGCTGTCTGCGGTGAGGGCTCAGGCTCTTCTCATTAGCCTTCTTCATGCTCTGGGGCCTGACTGCTGTCTGTACAGAAGCCTCCCCCCCACCATGGCGAGGGATGCCCAGCGCCTCGAGGTCCCTCGAAGTCCCACTGGCCGGTCTCTTCTGGTAGGTGGGCCTGGTGGTCTCTCTCTGCTGTGTGCTGGAGCCGAACAGGCAGCGAGATGGGTCTGGTGGGTGCCTAAGGACCTAGGCCAGGGCCAGTGCACACCAGGCCTCCTGGCGCAGGGTCCTGCCGAGGCCAGCCTGGGGGCCCAGGGCTGCGGAGGGGAAGGCAAAGTCCTCGGGCTCGAATTTGAACTCCAAGTGGCTGGGGGCCAGGGGGTCATCCGCCTGGCCGGAGGTCTGCAGGGAGAGCATTGGGATGCATGGGAATGCAAGAATGGCCAGTTGGCCTCGCTTGGGGTAAGGGGACCTCAGGACCAGGCCATTTGCCTTAAGGGGGCTCCTCAGGCCCTGGAATTGTGGGGGGCTCCTTGAGATTGGCAGGATGACACATGTGGGGCTCAAAGCCCAGCGTCTGCCACACGTCAGCTGCTGGTACCAATGACCACTTGTGTGCCCAGCTCTGAGCTCCTGGGAGAGGCCCTTGGGGGCCGTGATGGGGGTCTGACCTGGTCGGGGAGTCGGGGTTCCCTGAGGAGATACCCAGGAGTCAGCAGCTCTGGGCACCCCACTCCACCCTACCTCCCTTACCTGGGAGGTGACGCTGGACCCGGGGCATGAAGGGGATGCCAGGCTTGGTTTGGGTTTCAAAGTAGCCGCTGGGCTCTCAGGGTCTGGGACCGAGGGCGGCGAGGCTGTGCTCTTCCCTGAGCATCCTGGAAGGTGGGGCATTTACAGAAGCCGTCAGATCGAGCCGTACTGGTCACTTAATGAGAGGGCCTGGGTGTGGTATCCTCAGCCTGCCCTCCTGCCCCTCAGCTGGGTGGGCCCTCACCACCCGCCCCCCCCCCCCCCGCCCAGACCAGACGAGACCAGGGCAGAATCAGGGGTGTTTGCACTTTAGGAGGACAGTGCTTGAGCCAAACATGTAACTGTCTAATGGTGGAATTTGAGACACTCGAAGTGACTCCACGGGGCGAGGGCTGACTGGGCTCCCTCCCGGCATCCTGACGGGCCCTGGCCCCACGCACCTGAGGAGCTCTTGGTCTTCACAACGTTCTTGGGTTTCCGTTTCCGTGTCTGGATGCTTTCCTTCTTCATTGCCAGGGGCCGTGGCACCTGGCAGGGGCAGGCAGGGGTGGGCAGGGGCGGGTGGCTGGTCCCGTCCCTGCTCACCCCTGGGCCCCTTGCATGGCCACGTGCCCTAATGTCAGCCCTGCGGAGCTGGCCCCTCCAGGAGCCGAGTGTGTCCTCAGAGCCCCGTTTGGGGAGTTGCTGGCCCTGGCGTGGCCCCTTCCTCCAGGCAGGGCAGGCAGGAGGCGGTCCAGGCCAGGCCCCCGCAGAGCTGTAGGGGCCGGGAGGGCGTCGGGGCCAGAGAGCATACCAGGGGGCCTAGTGCCTGTCCCAGGCTGAGCCTCAGTGCGCCCGCCAGTACCCGGCAGTCCGTGGGGGCCACGCGGGAAACACACTGCCCCCTCTGCGCCCCACGCCCCGCCCCCCACCCCTGTGCCCGCTCACCCCGTGCAGCTTCATGTAGAGCCCACAGGCGTTGCACACCGGCTCGCCCTCCGCGTTGCGCCGCCACAGCGTGGTGGTGGTCGTGTGGCAGTTGGTGCAGCAGAGACCGGCACGGCGGGACGAGGACTGTGGATGGGGGCGGGGAGGCCGGTGTAAGCGGTGGGGGGGGGGGAGTGCCCTGGGCTCCACCACCTGGAGGGGCTGCCAGCGGGACTCAGGACTGACCGGCAGCCAGGCCCAGGACCACGTGGGGCTGGCGAGAAGGTGATCGGGGCGCTGAGGTCCCAAGGTCTGCCCCTGACAGGGACCGCCTACATTCCCTGGAGCTGTGACTCCACGCACCTCGAACCCTGGGACGGGTCACTTCACCTCTCTGGGCCTCAGTTTCCCCCCAGTAAAGAGGGGGTGAGGACAGACCCACCTATCGTGGGGTCAGGACCCCATGAAGAACCCAACACGAAAAGGCAACTGCTTTTCTGGTGCTCTCTCTTTTTCGGCCAATGCTGGGCCTTCACCCCCCAGGCTGCTAGGATGGAGCACAACCCCGTGGGGCCACAGGGTGCCCCCTTGGAGCTCGGGCCCCAGGGTAAGCATGCAGGGCACCTGCCTTCCAAGACAGGATCTAGAGCACGTGCTCAGCTCAACCACTCTCGGGCAGGGGGTGGGCTGACCCACCCGCACCTCCCTCCTACTGCTGTGTCAGAGCAAGACTGGACCCATCCAGAACCTTCCTGAGGCCCTGACATTCCTGAGGCCTACCTCCTTCCCACGTCTCCCTGCAGGACTGACCCCCAATTCTGTAGGTCTCATCTGACCAGGGACCCCAAACCTCTCCACACTTGGGGGCCTGGCAAGGCCCAGACAGCACCAACTCCAGGGATCCTGAGAGAGTGGGTCATTTGGGGCTCAGGAATCTGGACCTAAGAAGGCCTGGGAAGGGGCTCTGCCAAGCTGGCGGGCTGGGGCGGGCCTGACACAGGGGCTCTCCTACCCCCTCAGGATTCCATGAGCTGCCAGAGCCCAGCCCACCCCCCGCCCCGGCCCTCAGGTGCCCGTGAACCTGATCAACCCTTTCCCCCACTTCCTCTGAGCCCCTGGACCACAGCAATGTGATGCAGGGTCTCTGACCCGTTCTCCCCATGGCACCGGTGTCAGACCGGGCCACATCTGATCCAGTGTTTCAGTGGCACCCTGGGGCACCAGGACAGAAGCCCATGAGGACCCCATATCAAAATCGTCCCCTGGATGTGTTCTCCAGTCCAGGACGGAGCCGGGGAGCAATCAAAAGTGAGGCGGCCGAATGCAACCACAAAAGCGATGTGTCCTCGGTTAGGAGTGGCAGACAAGGGACCAGGCTCAGCTTCCCCATCTTTCAGCCGCCTCTAGGACCCTTCCATCTGCAGTGGCTGAGCGTGGCCAGCCTTGCCAACCATCTCCTGCCCACCCCTCTCCCCCAGGCTGTGGTCAGCTGGTCGAGGGTACAGGCCTGCCCCCGGGAATGGCCTGAGAGGGAGAGCGGGAGCCGGTCTCCAGCCCTCTGCCCAGCCATCCCCAAGAAAATCCAAGATATGAAAATACCTCCTTGCCCTCCCCCCCTTCCAGGTGCGGAGGCTGCCACAGGCTACAGAGAATCCTGCGCTGTTTAATGGAAGGCTTGGCGTCCAGTCTCCAGCCAGGACTCTGCCCCAGGCTCTGGGACAAAAGGCAAGGAAGGGACGAGGCCTTTGAGACTCCAGAGGAGCGCTGGGCCAAGTCTCCGGCCCGGGGGGAACCTCATCCTGATGTCCAGCCTCCCAGGGATCTCTGGCAGTCTTCCTGGGGGCACCTGGGGCTGGACTCGTGCACGAGCTAGAGTGGACAGAGCTGGCGCCCAGCTGAGGCCCCCGCAGAACTGGAAGGGAAATGGTGGCTGCAGCCCCGGCCAGACGGTGGAGCGTGCTCAGAGGCAGGAGCACTGGACCTGGAGTCAACCAGGGTCCCCAGCCTGACCTTGCCTAGAAGGCAGCTGCTTTTACTGGCTGCGATCTGAGTGTCCCCTCCCTGCCCCGTCCCTCTCTCCCATCTGTCTCCGGGGTGCCAGGAGCCATGCACACGGCAGAGGGGTGGTGCCCCCTGTCCTCATGAGGCGGGGTCCCTGCCGCCCACAATCCATCCACCTTCCTAAAGTGGGAGGAGGCCCAGGGACCTGCCCCAGGCCCCAGGATGAGCCGCTAGATGTGAACTTCAGACAAGCAACAAGTACTCTGAACAAGTGTGCCTCCAAGCAATATTTGGGACATAGTTACACTAAAATGCTAGTTGCTGTTTATCTGAAATTCCCATTTAATTGAGGGTCTGGTATTTTATCTGGTGAGGACCCCACCTCCTGCTGCGCGTTCGCTCCCCCCTTCCAGCTGGGACCCTCAGGCACCTCTACCGATCTTTGCTCCCTTAGAGCTCGTACTGCCATCCCACCTTCCAGAAAAACCGCACCACTGTTGAAAGAGGGGACTGCCACGCCTCTCGCCTCCTTGGGCCATCAGCCCCTCCTCACTAAGTCCTTCCTGCGGGAACGCTCAAGTGGCCGGGGCGCAAACATGCCCACGCGAGCCTTGAATCCAGTGCTCGTTTTCGGTGGCACTTGCGAGCGCACACTCAGGCTCGCCCCCCACAAATGTCCCCCACAGTTCCCGTGCGTCTCAGACGGGGGGCCACGGGCACGCAGCCTCCCCAGACACAGGCGTGGAGGCAAAGGTGGGGCCCATGCTGTGTGTGCGCCTGGAAAGCAGCCCCGGGAGCTCACGGACGTCACTCTGTACCCTGCAAGCGCGAGGGAAAAATCGGGAACCCAGATTAGGAGTGAATTACTTTTCAGTGGACATAAATAAAAATTAAGAAAATGGAAAACAATTTCAAAGTGTGTGCTCATTCATATTTTCCTCCTCTCGTCAGGCTGCACGGTAGAGATGGGACACGGAGGCCAGAGGCGCTGGGCGGGCAGAGCCGCCTCCCTCAGCTGAGCCGTCCCTCCCTGCCTGTCCTTCCCCACCGCCTGGACAAGCAGCCCGGCCTGGCCGCTCTCAGGGCCCCCTCATGGCCAGGCCTCCTCTGGCTGAGTTGTGTTTTTCCCTTTTGGTCTGTTCTTTTCAAAAGAAGTTAAACTTCAAAGCCTGCCTGCGCAGCAGAGCTGCCCTGAGCTCTAGGCCCTGCACGCGCCCGGACTCAAGTGAAGAATTCAGGGCAGTGGGCAGTGCGGAGCCAGGGGTGGGGCTGGCCGAGAGCCGAGGAGCAGGGGGCTGGCGCTGCGCGGCTTGCAGGGCTGAGGCGGGCACGCACAGAGAAAAACACTTTGGAAAGTAAGCACCTCGGCTCCCAAAAAGCAGCAGAAAATGGCCCAATTTTGAGTGGGTCCTCCCAAGGCTCTTGGAAAAGGATACGTGGTGGACACTTAACCTGATACCGCGTGTGTCCCCTGCTGTTCAAGGGTGAACCTGCCAGGGCGAGTCTATGAGGCGGGCCGTGCAGGAAGGAAAACCCAGCGTCCTCGTCAAGGTCTGGATTTGCTTGGCGAAGGCTGCCGGGCCCCACGTGGCACTGGCCACTTCCCGGAGTGTCCCCTGGCCTTGGCCGTGGGGCTCGGACATGCGGAGGGGGGTGGTGTGAGGGGCTCTAGAGCACCTGGCTACGCATGCACACACGGCAGCGGTCTGCAGAACCACAACTACCTACTCGTCCACACTGACAGAAGCCTCAGGTCAACGGCTCTGGCCTGGGACGAAGGATGCACGTGGGATGCAAAGGGCAGAACGGACATGAGCTCCTGCTGGGAGGGGGGTGCGTGCCTATTACTGACGAGCTTCTAGAACTTTCTTAGTCATTTAAAAGGACATTAGGACAGTTGTCTCCCAGGGCATCAGTTCCGGCCACACGTGAGGGAGAGTGAGGCACTGCTGGGGGGCAGGTCTGGGGCCACTGGCCAGTCCCCCCATGGCTGGGAGCCCTGTGGGCCGGGCTCTGGTCCCAGCACTCTCCGAGAACCTCTGAGTTTCCGCATGAGCCTGGCCCTGCCGGGACCAGCCACAGGGAAGCGGTGGGGCCATGCTCCCTGAGTGCCAGGCAGGAACCCAGAAAAAGTCAGAGGAAACTCTCACGGGACCGCTCAAGGACAGACAGGAGAAGGATGGCTACGCGGACACCCCCCTGGACCCCAGTCCCACTTGGCATACACTTCCTAGGCATGTTCCGCACTCAGATCTGCCTGGGCCTGGACACAGGGCTGACCGGGCTGTGCACCCTCCGAGGCCTGCCGCCTTGGGGAGACAGGCGGGCCACAAAGGGATTCTTCACCCCAGGAAGCTTCCTTAAAGCTCAATATTCTTTGTCCCCCAGACCAGGAAGCACAGACCTCACCAGGCCAGATGCCATGTCCTCAGCCAGTCCACAGAGCTGGCCAAGGCCTAAGTGTCCTGCCTCATTTAATCTTTACAACACAGCAGGGGGACAGTGTGTGCAGGGGCCACGGGGCCAGGAGACCCAGGACAGGGCCAGCAGGCTCCTGGTGAGCATGAGGCAGACAGTCCTGCTCAGAACCTGGGGCCCACTGTGTGCCCTCCGACTGTCTCTGAGCCCTGGGGGTCATCATCTGGCTGTTGTGAAGGTAAATGCCTCAATGCCTAGATGGTGGTCTGTCTGCTCACCCCCCAGGTCAGGAATTTCTGCTGGGAGGTGAGCCCTGTGAGGGGTGGGGGGCAAAGGCAGGGAGGCCCCACACCTTTTCCTGTTTACCAGTGTGTCCGCATGGGGAAGAGTGGATGGAGCAGGGAGGGGCCGGCCTGCGGCTGGGGCTGCCGTCCCCCAGGACACTCCTGCTGCTAGCCTCAGTTTCCCTCTCAGTGAGGGCCACATCAGACACCAAGCCCCTGCAGCACATGTCGGGGTGGGGGGCGTGATCACAGGGACAGAGATGAAAGTGAGGGGGTGATATGGATTCTGAGGTATCCCCTTCCAGGAGGCATAGCGTGGGTGGAGGGAAGTTGGGGGGCCTGCAGAGCCCCAAACACCAGGCTAGATCAGGGGAGAAAAACAGTGGTTTCCCCCAAACTGCCTGAGTCAGTCCTGCTTCCTGCCTGCCTAGTCTGGGGCCTTGGAGGGTCGGGGGCTCCCATAGCCCAGTAAAGGTGGGCTCCTGAGGACCACGCAGCCCGGGACTGGGGGCGGGGGGACCAGCCCCCCACCCCACCCCCACTGGTCCCAGGCACCAGAACCGGCCAGAACCAGCTGACTGGCCCCAACAGGGCTCCCTACCAGCATTAGACTAGAAGGGAGGCAGCCCCAGACACAGCCATGCCCAGAGCTCGGACCCTGGAGCCACTAGGGCCTCCTTAACTTTAGATAGCTCGCAAACAAAGGCAGGCCCTGCCACTTAGCAATCTCCTTGAACATCCGAGTTTGCCTGTGGGATGGTGTAGGATAAAGTAGCTTTCAACCTTTACGCAGCTTCTGGGGACTCTGCCCTCCCTCCCTGTTCGGGGCAAAAGTCGAGTTCCCAGTCCTCCACTCTGCACCAGCCACACACCAGAAAAAACCAAAAGTGAAAACAAGTTTGGTGCCTTGAACAACCATAGACCCGGTCTCAGCCCCAACTGCCTGGTATCGAGTGGAAAGTGCTCCCCAAGAGGCAGGGCCCCAAAGCCCCCTTCAACATCCGCCAACAAAGCAGCCACCTAGCAGCCACCCTCCCTGCCAGCCCCATGCCTGGGCCAAGACACCCTGTGCCCCTGCCACCCCGGGAGCCCCAGGGCTGAGCCCCAGCAGGCCGGCTGCGACCCGGGGCGTGCAACCTTAAGCTCAGGGGCCCTTCGGTCCCTTTCTGTGGAGCAGCGGGGCCGGTCCTGTCGTGGGGCCTGGGCCTCCCAGCTCCCCGCTGTTGGAGCAACCGGCTGCCCCCTGTTCCTCACCTCCTGGCCCTGCCCTGCCACCCCACCCAGGGTTGCTTGCGTGGGGACTCCGGCCAGGCCGCACACTCACCAGGCGCTTCTGCGGGCGCACGAGTGGCCGGTTGACGCCATTCATCTTGTGGTAGAGGCCACAAGCATTGCACAGGTAGTGGCCAGTGCCGTCGCGACGCCACAGGGGTGTGGACAGGGCCCCACAGTTGACACACTCGCGACCCTCGCCGGGGAGCTCTTCCAAGAAGTCCGACACTGCGGGGACGGGCAGCTCGTGGGCCGAGGCTCCCGCTTCCCCCGAACCCACAGCATCTGTTGCATTTGCCTTGTTTTGTGTGCACCCTGAATTTATTTTATTTTAAAATTTATCGTATCTAATTTTATTTTAAATCTTAACTTTACATACAATAAAGTTGGTGGCAGATTAAAAAAAAACTGGTTAGGGTTGCCTTTGTAGGGTGGGGGAAGGTTAATAAATCAAACCTCAGGGTGCACAGCAGGGAACCGGGTGGAACTTCCATCCCCTGGGGAGGCAGGATCCTCAGCATTGGCAGAGGGAGGCGGCCAAGGGCCTTGTTCTCTGTAACATGGGACATTCACAAGGGGCCGTGGTGGTGAGGCCGAGTGGATGGGGATGTCCCACAGGGGCTATGGTGCCTGTACGTCAACTGCACTGTGGGGGTGACCACGATCCACGCCAGAACAACAGCGAGGTGGGGCCTCGCCGCCCACTTGGGGGCCCACGCGGGGCGGGGGGCACGGCAGAGGCACTGGGCCAGGCACCCTACGGGGGCGGGGTGGGGATCAATCTTTGTGGGGCCGCCCTGGGCTCTGGCGGAGGGGAGCCCGCTTCCTGCGCGGGGGAGCCAGCGGGGCCCAGAGGCTGCTGGAAAGTGAGCCAGCGAGGCCTCCTCCAGCGGGGTAGGACCTGGTGCCTACGGGCGGCAAACGCAGGCCAGGCACAGCCGCAGGGGTGAGAAAGTGTCTGGCTGCGGGCTACTCACAAACCGGGTGGAGCAAATCTCTGCCTTCCAGACCCAGAATCCGATTATCCAAATTTATACCCCAGGGGGAGCAATTGAAACCAGGTCACAAATTAGAATACGTAAACATTCTAGAACAGAGATGAATGTGGCGGCTTACATAAATAATCCGGTATTTTGATTTTTATAAAAATCACTTCCAAAACTTTCCATAAGAGCATTTATGAGGTAGGCTCTAAATTGGCATGATCCAGAATGTGGGGCTCAGATGAATGAAAGGTAGAAACACTTTCTTACTAACGTGTAAAATAGTTCAGGACCCGTGTTTTTCATCCCAGGGAGGGTGAGCTTGTGGCAGACATCTATTCTGCCCCGGGTTAACTTGTCCCCGCAGTTCTGGACCTGGCCGGGAAGCATTCGTAGGGTGCGGGTTTGCGCCAGCACCCCGGTCTCGCACTCACCGAAGGTGGCTCTGCGGCCGGGGAAGCCAGCCGGGTGGCTCTGTAGGCCGTGCAGGACGCTGCCGTCGAAGGGTCCGGATGTCCAGGACGGGGCCACCTCGGTGCTCACGTAGGCCGGGTAGGCGGTGGGGTACGGCGCGCTCACTGGCCGGCGGAGCGGGGCCGGGTACTGCTCGCGGGCCAGCAGCGCGCCCTGGTAGGCGCCACCGTCCGGGGTCCCTGCGCTGCCACCGCCGCCGGGCCCTGCGGGGCTGTGCGGGAAGGGGAAGGCGGCGGGTGCGGCCGGCTGAGCGGCCGGCGGGTGCGGGCTGCCGGAGCCGAAGGCTGACGAGTCTGCTGCCGCCGCCTGCGCCCAGCCGGGGTGCGCGGCCAGCCCCGGGGCCTGCGGTCCCGGCTCACACGCCGGCAGGTAGGGCAGCATGGAGGGGACGCGCGCGGGCGGCACGAACACCGGGGAGCCGGCGCTTGGCGCGTGCAGAAACGCGCCGGAGTCCGCGTAGGCGGCCTGGCCGGGGCTCGGGGCCAGCGCCAGGCTCTGGTACATCTTCCCCCGCGCGGCCTTGACCTGCAGAGAAGAGGGACGGGCGTCGAGTTCGCGGCTGCTGCGCACCCCGGGCGGCGCCCGCGCTCGTGCCGCGCTCCCCGCTCCCCTGCCGGCCGCGGGGTCAGACGGCGGGGCACGGGTGGCCCCGAGCTGCCGGCGGGACAGCCCCGGCGCAGCTGCAGCGCCGAGCTCACCTCCTCCACTGCCGGGCCTCGGAGCTTCCCGGGGTGGGCTCGGCAGGGGCCGAGAGGGAGCGGCCGCACGCCCGCGGGGCCTGGGCGCAGGGGCCCCGCCGCGCTGGGAGCGGGCGCCAGGCCGGGCCGGGGCTGTCCCGCGGAGGGCGCGGCGGTCTCGGCGGGCTGGCGACAAGCGGGCTGGAGACTGGGAGCCCGGGGCCGCGCGGTGTCGCAGGGAATCCCGGGCGCCCCGCCGCCCCTCCGCGCCGCCCCGGCCAGCCCCGCTGCCCCTCCCTCCCTCCCTCCCTCTCCTCTCCTCTCCTCTCTTCTCCTCTCCTCCCCTCCCCTCCCCGCCTGCGGGGTCAGCGCTGGGGCTGCGGCCGCTGCGCCACGTGACCCGAGCAGGCCCGGCTCCCCGGGCTCGGCGGGAAAGGGGTCGGGACGCGGGGCGCGGGGCGCGGGACACCCCGCGCTCCCTACTGGCTGAAGCGGGCAGGAGGGACCGGCCTGGGCTCGGTGGGGTCCCGGGCTAGCAGGGACGCGGAGACGTCCCTAAATTTGTTCCGGGGACTCGCGGATCCGCACCCCTCCCTCCTCGCCAGCCTGGCTCCCACTGAGGCTGGCCCGGTGTCCGGTAGGGCTCCTGCGGACGAGCCAGAGAGCGGGTGTGCCGCGCTCCCGCACACGCGGTGGTGGGGCCCCGTCGCTGGACCCGGGGCCCAGCGCCAGGATCCGGCTTCCATGGGGACGCCCAGCTCAGTGTCCCTGGGCTCCGCCCGGGCCCACGAGGGCCACCCCATGCGCGAAGTGCAGCAGGAGTCCCACAGTTTCCTCAGTTTCTGACCAAGCAGGGCAACTTCAGGCTCTATCCCAGCGTGGGGGTGGGGGGGCAGGGGTTTGGCCGCGTTGGTGGGAGCTACCCAGATACCTGGATGCACTCCCTTTGCCCCAGTTCCGCTCCCCGCCTCCACCCCTAGGTGGGACCTTTCGCCTGACCCTGGCGGTGGGGAGCAGAGTGGGGTCACAGGAAGATCTCCTCCAGAAGCGAGAAATGTGGGATGCGTGGGAGGCCACCAAGGTCATGGAAGTGCCCTCTGGCACTCCCTGGGTGGACCCATGGTGGTAGCTGTGTGGCAGAGGGGGCCTCCTGGGGCTTCAACAGGACCCAAGCCCTCTGAGGGGACAGCTACAGTGGACGCGGGGTGATGCTGGCTGGGCAGGAGCAGGGCTTACCAGGCAGCCCTTGGCTGCGGTGCTCAGGGCTGCGAATGTTCCTGTTTATAGCAACAGGCCCTTAGCCCCTCCATGGTGGGCTAGACCCCAGGGGCTGTCGGCCTGCGGAGGGTGCAGTGGTCCTGTACCCCTCTCCCACACTGTCTCGCTGATAGCAGGCAGGGATTTGGGGTGCATGTTGAGGCATACGGGGTGAACCTGACTGGGCTGCCCAGGAAGGACCATTTTAGAAGGGTGGCAGGAAAGGCCCCCGCTCACACCCTGGTTGGAGATGCCACAGAAGTTTCCAGGGCAGGCCCCGGACTCTCCACAAGCCTTGTTGGGGTGCCGGTGGGAAGGGGAGCAGGTGGCCTTTGATACTGCCCCCTCCACTGCAGCTCCTAGCCCCTCCCCCCCACTCCCCCCCTCCAACCACCTGCCGTATGGACTCCTGTGGCACACTACCTTCTGGGGTCTGAACCGAGGGGCCCCTCCTTGCCCCACCCCTCTCTAGACTTCACCAGTGGATGTCTTTTTCTCTTTCAAAGTGGGCTCCCAGCAGGTGACCCCGTACTACTCAGGGTCCTAGAGACTCTCTGTGCCAGGGGACCTTGGCAGTGCTAGAGGACCCCGAAGCGGGTTGAATCTGCACAACTCCTCCTGCACTCAGAGCCCCGTTTACTGAGACAGTGGATGTGAAAAAGGAAGCTGCCTCACCACTGGGGTTGAAGAGAGGGAGACAAGGGAGACCTCATCCCCACCCCCAAAAACAGCAAGCCTGGGATCCCGCTGGGCTGTGGGGGCAGGGCTTGTATTTTGTACCAGGAATAAATTCCAGTCCCGTCCTTGAACTTGAATCCCAGCATCAGTGGGCAATCGGCTTTGTCCTCTGATGTTTCCTCTTAATCCTCCTGTCAATCTTGGGATGTAGATGACATTATTATTATTCCCCGAGTCCCAGAGAGGTTAGCTCACGTGCCCAAGGTCACACAGCTAATAATTAAACCAGGTAATTAAAACACAGGAAGGACGCAAACTATTCGAAAGGGAGGTGATCTCCGGTCACTTTTTCTGTATTCACAAATCTCTAAAATGGGTGTGTATTAGTTTTACAATTAAAAGGCCGAGACTCCTCTCCCAGGAGAATATGTGTGTGTGCGGGGGG